GCTTGTAAAGGATTCTTCCCAGCGTCTGCCCCTGAAAAAGGTACTAGAGCATGCTTGGATTGTGCAGAATGCTGATCCTTCAGGCGTTTATAAAGGCTGATGAGAGAGTACTACATCACCAATTACTCTCACAATCTTTATGGCGGACTACAAATTGTTTTCATTTTTTACTGAAGAGCATCTTGCTCAGCTGGATCGTAAAATTATGTGATGTAACATAACCACACCAAGATGTTAAACCTTTGTGATCTTCAAAACCTTGCATGAAAGGAGGTTTCTATACAAAGGATATGTATTCATTTTGCTTTTTCTAAATGTTGTACTTACTATCTGCACTGTCTGGCTGCCATTGGATATTCATGCTGTGCTAGTGGTTTGTTTACCTGTAATCTCTCACTTTCATTGTCATCTCCATCTAACAACTGAGTTGGTGGGTGCTGACACTTTTGCGCTTGAACAATGTCTTTTGTGCTCAAGAAACTAGGCCGACTGTTGAAAGAAGTCGTGTCCACGTCTATTGTGACCACCTTATTTTGCTTCTCAGTAATGTGCTGCATAGCAAAGATGCTTATTCAACTTGTGAAAATGATGTGTCCATAGCAATAGGAGTCACTAGTGCCCATGACATAATTGATTAAACGGCTTTTGGTTCCCTTTTGGGCAACCAAGTCACAGTGGTGAAAATGATCCTAATAGAGCTTTTACATGCAAGGCGACAACATACAATGCACAAAGCTGTTGATGGTTTCAGTTATGCCATGAAATTAGAAAACAGAGATGTTTTATGTCATAATAGAGAGGCCAACACCATAACCCTGAGTACTGAACAACAAGTTGCTGATAACAATCTTAGAGAAAACGAGCATATGTCTTTCCTAAGGTGTAACTGCTTCTAACTGAATGGTAGAGCAAAATTTCAACTCTTTTATTTTTTCCAACTTACAGAAAGGCAGCAAACAATCTCACTTTAGTTATGTTTTATCAATAACGGTTATAGACTATCTAGTGACGAGTTTTGCAGCTAACTATGCAGAGAAGAGCTTATTATTTAACAGCAAACAACCAGCAATGAAGTGCCAGATAAGATTTGTAGTGGAGATGGACAAAAAAAAGTCTTTATAAGAACTTGATATTAAAAAAATTCTATACTAGGCTATTTGCCATGCATAAAAACATTGTAAAAGCATGTTACCACTATAGCAACCCATTAGCTTCACCACACCAATACCGTTCTAAGGACTTTGAGCTTCAACATGTGTTGCATTGATGGGACGTTGAACCTCCTCTACAGTATCAAAGCCAAATGACTTGTCGATGATCTGATAACAGAACAAACTCGTTTTTACCATTATTAGCTACTAGTTGCTCAAGTCAAATGAGAGGGGATACTGCCAAAATGAGATTTCCAGACATTACACTGTACTTCTAATATTGAGTAGTAAAGTTTATGCTTTGCACTTCGCAAGAAACTTCAGATTACTTCCTAAGGTTTTTAAATTGTTTATTGTACCAGAACAAAATATAATCAATTAAAACATGAAGAAATGAGAAATACTGGAATATCATTGCCAATTGTCTTTGGTATCCCAGCAACAACTTTGAGACAACACCCCCTAATTTCCTGCAAAAAGGGAGTAGGATTATACTAAAAGTGCTTGCAAAGATGAACAAAAATTCTCTTTTACCAAGAAAATAATTGATACCACCAAGGACCATCGGAACACGAAATCATATACCAAATAATGCATATAACAGTAGGGTGTTCCATTTACCATTGCGAAACTAAATATGCATCTAACATATTCAAAAGAAACATTTCCATGTAAGAGACCGGCAAGTCCGTGGAAACTATTAGAACATAAAGACGAGCTAGCCAGAACTAGTTAATAAGGTATATTCAAACATATTGAATCTCTGTGCAGATGATGTTTTGTGAGAAATATTGGAGAAAAATATTATTATTGTGTATTTGATAAACAAAAGATGTATAGTAAGATTGAGATTCAAAGAATGTGACATCAATGGACCTAAGGTATCGACGAAGATCGGGTAAATAACAATGATACCCTTTTTGAACTCGCGAGTAACCAAGGAAGACATATTTGAGAGCACGGGGGCTAATTTATCCCTTTTTGGGGGGATAAGTTATGAACAAAGCATGTGCTCCCAAAGACATGTGGGATGATAGAGTAAAGATGTGATTGAGAAAACAGTATGGAATGTGGAAACCTGATTCTAAATAGAAAATGAAGGCATTCTATTAATTAAAAATAGCAAGACCCAAGGACCCAAAAACACAGAGGAACATGGGACTCAATGAGAAGAGTGCTACCAGTCTCAATTAGATATCTATTCTTCTTTCCTACTACACTATTCTGTTGAGGGGTGTACGGACAAGATGCTTGATGAATAATTCTTTGGCGAGTAATAAACTTCAGAAATTAGGAGGATAAGTATTCTAAGGCATTATCACTACGAAAAGTACGAATAGAAACACCAAACTGATTTTGAATTTAAGCAAAGAAACTTTAGAATATACAAAATAACTCAGAACGATCTTTCATTAAGAAAACTCACGTGCATCTTGAACAATCATCAATGAAACTAAAGAAATAACGAAATCCTAAGGTTGAAATGACTCTACTAGAACCCCAAATGTCAAAATGAACTAATGAAAAAATAGACTTTGAACTCCCATCAATACTACGTGAAAATGTGGCATGGTGTGTTTCCCAAGTTAACACGACTCACAATCTAATGTGGATAAACTAGACAAACTAGGCACCATCTTGGCATCTTCTATAGCTTGGATAGACTCGGATGTCCCAAACGTTTGTGAATTAGGTCGGGAGGATCGGTAACAGAGCATGATGTGAAGGGATTTGTAGAGGTAAGATAATAAAGGCCTTGTGATTCATGTCCTGTGCCAATCATCTATCCCGTACTGCAGTCCTGCATAAGAAAAAAATCATCAAGAAAATGTTCTGCCACAATGTCGGGCACGCGTCAAATGACTAGAAGATGTCAAATTAAAAGGAGAACCAACGATATAAAGAACATAATTTAGAGTGACAGAAGATAGGGGTTTAGCTTGTGTAACCCTTTTTGATTTTGTTTGGATTCCATTGGCTAAAGTAATAGTAGGAAGAGACTATGAATAAACAGTATCAGAAAGACGTTTGCTTACTTGCTCGATACAGAAGGAACTCATCATATTATGTCTGAGCAATATGAGCAGTATTGGATGGTCGATCAGGCGGAGCAACCGAGGCTACTTGTGGAGATGTTTGTGTACTAGCACGATTTCGAAGAAACTCATTATATTCCTTTAGAGCAATAGGATCATAACTGGGTGGTGGACCATGCAAAACATAACATGTCACTAGTGTGTCCAATCTTATGGCAATAACTACACTTGGATCGAGGTTTCCCAAAACGACTTCCTCCTCACCAATTCTCCATAGACTGATATGTTCGTTTTACTATGATTTGAGATGCGAGAACAGAGGAGTCAACGATGGATGATGAAACACCTTTGTGATTAGGAGGCGCGGCAAGACGAAGTAGTCGGGAGAATAACTCAATCTATTGTAGGAACCATAGGACTAGCTAAAATCTTGACACACACTGAATCATAGTCATTAGGCAGTCCAACAAGTGTAAAAACTAGAAACAACATATGTTTGTGCTCTTGTTGTTTTTCCTCATTTGTAGTGATGGGCATCAACGTTTCAAATTCCTCCATGACTGCTTGTACTTGTCCCAAGTAAGTAGACATATCGGATTCTTGTTTCTTTAAGTCGATCATTCGAGATATCACATCATATAAATGAGATATGTCATTAGTGTATAAAGCACAAGCCTTTTGCCAAACTAAATAACATGTTTGGAATGGGCAAAACAAGGGCATCAACTTGGAATCAATAGAACGCCACAAGAGACAACATAATTGAGCATCAATCTTCTCCCATTGTGCTTTGATTGTTGCATCTTCTGCACTAGACTTTGCATTTTCATCTACCACACATGCTTTGTTCGTTAAGTGATCTTGGACACCTTGACCTTTGCACCACAACTCAACCGAGGAAGCCCAAGCTAGATAATTTGAACTTCCCATTAATGGTTCGGAAGTGATCATAACGCTCGAACTTCTAATTCCCATATTTTTTATGCCAAAAGTGTCAACCTCAAAATACATCTTGTTAAATCAGAACTCCACCCACCCACCCACCCAAAAAAAAAATTGGAAATAGAGTGCCGGAATCTGGAAAATAAACATCCAGTCGCCGGAAATACGATATGGTTGCCGGAAACTGGTCGGAATCAGAAAAAATATACGGTCAGCCTTGGAATGGAGAGGCAACCTCACTGGAAATTACTTTTGTCAAAAACTGGCAGAAAAAGCTCGCACGCTCAGGTGCGTGAGGCGTGTGAAGAACCAGAACTCAGAGGAGCTCACTGGGGTTTGCTCGCCGGAGTATTTCTCACCTTGTGGTGTTGGTTTTCACACAACACTTACAAAACAATAAAGGGACATAAATCAGTCTTTGACAGTCGCTGGAAAATCTGCACAGTGACCCTGATTTTGCTGGAATGATGTCAACAATGTTTTTCTCACAATTGCTCTGATATCATGTGAGAAATATTGGAGAAAAATATTATAATTGTGTGTCTACATTATTACTTATAGAACCTATTCCTAGACACTATAATACAATCCTTTACCAAGTAGGACACTATATACTATTCCTATTCCTATTCCTATTCTAAGTAGGATTGTGTATACTTATTCCTATTCTTACAATGTTCAGGCTTGGAACAAGATACTTGATTTGACCTTCGTAGAGTGATAGAGAATCTGCTCAAGAGACTGATTATAAAGAATAGATTATTGAACTTTCAGCAAAATATGTAAACCATATTTATTACCTTAGTCGAAACTGTCTCATGTTTTTGGGTGGGTATATACCTGGCCTCTTAATTTGCAGAATCTAACACCCCTCATAATTAAAGCTGCTCCTTTTAGCCCAGGGCACAAACCACCACATTTTCTATTGAATGGAAGATGATTTTACATCATCTGAACTGAAATAAACCTGAGAAATATTGAAGCTTTCTTCTGAGTGAAAGGTTTCATATTAATATCTCTATTGGTTACTGACAACAAATTGCACATTGCCATCCTTGAAGAAAGTAGGCATACCTTCTGATGTGGACCAGCACGCCGAAAATGTACTCCTCGATGACTGTCCTTATGAACAACAATCTACAAAATGATCAAACAAATTCATAACTATTACCACAATGAAAGAGGACAGATTGATGAACAAAGGAGCTCTCTTGGACAATTTTTTTTTCATTATAGGTAAATGAAGAGAGAAACTGACAAGGAATTTGAAAGTAAAATAAAGGACTGACTGAATAATTTGTCCCAGACAGTCGACTCAGGAAAAAATTTCTACACACTTATTTTGTCCTTTCACTGCAATGGCTTAGTAGATTGGCAACTATTGCAAGACTGAAGAAATGGTTCAGAATGCAAAGTTCAGTTTGGAGACTCTGTATCCACTCTGAAGAGTCAGCCATGTCTACTTTTCAATAGCTTCTACCATAGTTGCAATTAGTTGTTACTCTGTTCACGTTTACTTCAGCCTTTTGATCCTTAAAGGGACCGACTATAGTATACACTCACATAAAGTACGTTTTCTGATGCATCATTTATAGCAGTGGAATGATAAAAGTAAGTGGCCATAGAATTTCTCGTGAAGTGCTAATTTGATATTATTTAGTATCTATTGTTTCTCCAAAAACCCACATCAGACAATAATGGTCCTCTACTCTTGCTTTCCAGAAAGTTATATCTGTGCTTCATTTATGTGACTAGCATCCCACTTTGCAGAATCACTAACTCAACTATTGCAGATCAATGTGGCTATCTGTTAGTATCTATCATCTGTCTTACCATTTTATTAACTTTTGAAAGAGAAAGAAGTACAGACATTTTCTACGAAAGAAATTTATATACACAGGCAGAACATGTTAGAAAGAAGATTGCACCTTCTGAGGAACTGTATCATCCATGTCAACAAAGTGATGCCTGAAATCATAAAGACATTTTATAACTTGTCATGGATCAACTGCATAAAAACTTCCACATTGGCCTGATAGCATTAAAAAAAGAAAGGTCAATAATGGACTCACTTCACAACTGAGTATGCTGGATTAGAATGCAAGGGGTTATCATAAGTCTGTCATCAAGCAATGAAACGAAGAATAAAGTCGAGTTAGTAGATAGATCAACATCTAGAGCAACAAACACACATGATTGAGGGGATAACACAGATACATAGTTGAAATCAAGTATCTCGTGTCTAACAGATACACCTTTTATTTTCTGACTGAAAAAGTAAATACAACTCTTGCAAAAAGTAAATGTGAATTTCCATTAGTGTGTACAATAAGTATTAGAGGAGACGATTCAGAGACATGAAAAGGCCGTAATGAACAGCATTACATTAAGATACAAGAAAATTTCTAACACCTAAACTAGCATACATATATGGTACAAGAGATGCAATCACTTGCTTACAGACTTTGCTATCACTTCTTCCCACCATCCGATCCACTGTTCCCCTAAAACAACTCATGATTCAATAATTCAAAATCAATAGATATACATAAAAATATAAAAGGTACCTTATATATACTGTATTTTTTTTTACCAAGAGGGTTCAGGTGAATCCTTTGTGACCCCCTAGATCTTCCCCTGGGCTGAGGCAATTAGGCAGAATATGCCACAACTTCAGCTCACTGAGGAGGCGAGGACATGAACCTTGATAGTAGGGTGTGGAGGCCAAAGATTAGGGAAGAAGGTTAGTAGTAAGTCAGATGTATTTCTTTCTCATTCTCGGAGTTTTAAGCATTATTCTTCTGTTTTTTCCTTATCTTTAGATTTCTGTTACTACCTGCTATTCTTTTCTTTAGCCTCCATATCTTATTTCTTGATATTGTAGCAGCATGTCACTGCTACTTTGTCATGTTCGTTCAACCAAGGGTCTATCGGAAATCGTCTCTGTGTACACTCTACCCTTAAACCCCACCTATGGGATTACACTGGGTTTGCTGTTGTCATGGTAGATCCCCATGAAAGTTTTGAAATTATTGTTGGATTTAACTTTAATACATAAATTAGACCTGTCAATGTAATATAACTGGTCGGATCAGCTTAGCATACTTTCCAGGTTACAAATCCATGCTTATTAGGGATAGTTACCTATAGGCTATAAGGATTTCAGTTGCAGGGTGTAGATACCTTTTCCAAGTTACCTGCAATTGCTCTTTAAATAATTGCATAGAGTAAATATGTTTAAAAAGTTAAAATTCATAATGTTATAGGATGGATATAAAAGTTTTGCAAGACAGACAGGAGCTAATGAGGGAAACTCTTCCATTACAATCCGCATCGAGACTATATGAACTGCAAGGGTTAAATTCCAATAAGTAGTATGAAGTGAAGATCTCTTATCCTGCTTCTGTATGTACACTTGCATTCATGCCTACTACTTCTCTATACCCTATTGGTATTTAAAGCTTAAACCTTTACTGTTCAACATATAACGATTACCAGCTACTTTTACTCTACAACTAAGTAAAGGAAGTTCAGGGCTTAATGTTGGTAGGAAGTTACTGAATACTGAAAAGATAATTTTTCGGGTGGACAACAGTCTTGAATTGTTTGGTGACAAGGTTTGGTTATGTCTGCATAATATATAGTGATTATTGTCTGTTCTTTTGATCATTTTTACCTCTCAAAAGGCACAGCTTAACCTCTTTTTTATCCCCACAAAAAGTGATAAGGAATCAAGAACATTCACCTATGACTTGTGTTTTCAAGTTACTTGCCATAAAAATGAAAAAAAAAAAAGTAACTACCAGCCAGAAAGTTCTTGCAATACAAACATAGCCATTCAAATCAACTAACCATTAGTGTGTACAACAAGTATTAGAGGAGACAATTTAGAGGCATGAAAAGGCCATAATGATTAATGACCAGCATTACATGAAGACACAACAAAATTTCTAAACAGCTAAACTAGTAGCATACATATATGGTACAAGGAGATGCAATCACTTGCTTACAGACTTTGCTCTCACTTCCTCCCACCACCCGATCCACTGCTCCCTTGAAACAACTCAAAGATTCGAGCTTCAAGATCCTCCACACTAAACTTGATATGCCTCTCTGCGTACCTGCCAGAATCGTTATTACTCTGCAACCTCCCAATAAAGTTGCGATATGCTGGAGACAAAGACCCTGCTACAGAATTCCTTAATTCTTCCTTCAGTTGCTCATCAAAGATTATCCAAGTGGATTGAGTTTTACATATCTCCTCAAAGTAGGAATTGAATAACTTAAGCTTTTCTTTCAAAGATCTCGAAGCTCCAGTAGGTGACATAGCATTATTATCAATCTTCAGAACTCCTGAAACCTTACTCCACGAACTTCGGTGATAACTTACATGATACTGCTTAACTTTGGCTGCGTGTTTTCGTATCCAATCATCACCTAAAAGCAATCCCAACTCACTATCTTTAACTTTCTGAACAATGTATCTTTCATTATTCATCATAAAAACAGCCAACAAAGCAGAGTCCTTGTAAATCTTTGATTTTGCTTCCAGATTACTCTCAAGTAACTCCATAATCCATGCCATTTGAACAGCCAATGAAGAAGACGAAAGTGCTCTATCATCCCCATCTCTGTAATCAACAGCACTAGCAGATGGCACAACAATTTCCTCAAAAACCTGTTCAAGAGTAATCCGGGATCGACAAGCTGCACGAATATAATTCATCACGTATCGAGTAATTGGGTGGAGTCCACCGCCAGGCACTGGAGTCTTAGCAGGATCACGGCGAATCAAATTCTCCAACTCCATAAACATCCCTCTAATAGCCTCACCCAATCTTCTCCATATAGCCAATGCTTCATTCCTCAATAGCACACAATATTGATCCGAAAACATCAATTCAAATTCAGGCATCAAATCCCTAAGCGCCTCATAAACATCAAGTACCTTGAAAAGTCTCTCCGGTGCCCGACTAGAGATCGCAACAGCATCAGCAAAGTTGAGAAGTTGAATAGTAGAACCTCTAGAAACTTCCATGAAAGATAGATCAGAAACAGAGTTGAATCCAAAGAAGACCCGATCACAAAGTCGACGTTCACTCGGGAACAGGATTCGGAGAGCTACGTTGACCGCTTTAACCCATTTCTCAATCTCATCTTCAAGGTCATTCCACTGCATTTTCTGCACTTGATCCATACTCAGCTTCTGCAACCCCAATCTACTTAAACTCTCTTCCAAAAACTCTCTTCTAGACACACTATACGCGTGTGAACACTCTTTCTCATACCCAGCAGCCACCATTCTCTTAGCAATCTCATGTAGATCGCTAATGATTCCCGCTGGTAAAGCTTCAATAAGGATCCCGTAATCCGTTACAGGATGTGCTATAGGAATCTCATTATCATCATCATCATCAACTTCTTCCTCTTCAGATTCGTAGTAGTCTCCCAAATTATTACCACCATTCTGGTGGCGCGTGAGATCCACGGACTCGGAAGCGCGTTGCATGAGGGTAGTAAACTCATCTTGTAAACGAAACATAGCTTGTTGAAGTAAATCATCAGCTTTATCAAGAGAAACAGAAACAGATTTGTCATTTGCCATAGGATTCCATTCATGAATTATGGCCAATAATTGGTCAACAGAATCAAGGAAAGCAGCAGACTCAGCTGAATCAGACCATATATGATGCTGAGCGGAGAGATGACGAGAGATCTGACGATGAAGAGATTTAAGGGTTCGTTCAAGTGGTTGATCATCAGTAAGTTTTTCACGGAATCGATTATCAAAATTAGAGAAGATTTGAAGGATATCATCAGTCATAGTATCAGTATGACCAAGTGTTTTGGCGATATGACGAGCAACAGCTATGAGTTTTTCTTCACCATTTTCAGCCATGGATGCAACTCTCAAATTTGTGTATGGAGAAAGTGGGGAAGAAGAAGAAGAAGAAATGTTTAAGGATGATAAGAGTTGGGCGTTGAGGAAGTGGGACCCACAGAAAAGTCTATAAATTGCTCAATTATGTCTCCACCACTTTACATTAAATTGAGAACGCGCAAATTATCTAAACAAGGTTAGATCTTTCAATGATACTACTCAAATGACACCTGGTACAATCCTTTTTATTAATCTCTCTCACATGAAATCATATCATTTCTAAATTTTAATTGTATTGTGAGGTTTTTTTTTTTTTTATATATATATATAGAATCATAAATTTCTTCAATAATAAAAATACAAAAAAAATTGAGAACTTTTTATTTTAAAATCAAATATTTATATTTCATGTACTATGAAAATACTAAACAATTAGAATAATTTAGAGCTGTTTGGATTGACTTAAAAACGAATAGTTTTTAAGTCAAAAAAAAAAGTTAAATTGAAATGATTTTTAAATTAAAAAATAAAAAGTAGAGGAGACCTATTATTTATTTATTATTTATTTTAAGTCATTTTAAACTTATTTTAAGTTATTTTTTTACCTTGTCAAACACTTTCTAACTTATTTTAAGTTATTTTTGATTTATTTTAAATTATTATTTTTTATATTTGTCAAACACTTTCAAAAGTAAAAAACTAACTTAAAAGTAGATTTTACCAATTTTTAATCCAATACAAACACCCTCTTAATTACGACTATTATTCCTATTTTTTAATTGATCGGTCATGTCTTATACTCCCTCTATTTCAAATTACTTGAATTGTTGAGACATTTTTTATTTTTCAAATTAATTTAATTTTTCAATTTCCTAGACTACTTTTAGAATGTTCTTCTAATTTTACCCTTTATTAGTTAGTATTGGAATTCGTTATTAATTAATGTTTAGTTAATTTAATCATAAATTTGACAATAATTAATAAGGGTAAAAATGGAAAGGTATACCTAATCCATGTCTTAATCTTCTTTTCTTAAAGGCTCAACAATTCAATTAATTTGAAATAGAGTCTTAACGTTCTTCTATATTCAAGGTAAAGTTTTAGCACTACTTTATTTTAAAGGTCATAGATCTGCAACTCAGGAAATGAAAACTCGGACTCTAAATCACCAATTGGACCATAAAAGAGATTTGATTTAAGAATGAGAACTTGTAGGTTTGGAAGTTTGTCCAGCCATA